AAGGCTGAGAAAGGTTTCCTCCAGGGGGTTAAAAAAGGGGGAACCCCTTCCCCCCCCCCCCCCCCAAGTAATTTTAGTTCTCAGGTTTGATTAAAAACTAAAGTTTCACTATAAAGATGTTTGTTTTGCAGCAGTAGAGATAATTTTTGTTTCAAATCAAAGCAGTCAGATCATGTTTAGATTGGTTCTCCTATCACTCAGTGACTCTAGGATCTCTATTCAGCCTGATCACTTCAAACGCCTTCTGTTTTTAGTTATTTTAAAAATTGTTTTTTTTTTACTTTTTAAACCATTGCTTTATTGCTTTACTGTCTACATATTTGTCATCGTTTCGATTTTAACCATAAATTAAATTAAGCTGCTGAAAAGATAACCTCACTGTACATTTGTCCCTGGGAGCGACGGCAGTCGGCGAGTTGGCTCGCCTCATTACTGTCGATCAGACAAGCAGAGGCCTGGATTTTTTTTCGCCTGGAGGGATGTTGGTATCCCTCACCCCCTTCTTTCAAGTGGCAAGCTATGGGAACATTGTGTTTTTTGTAAACTGCAGAAGGAGTGCAGCAGAAATCCAGTCTCGCTGCTTCTCCCCTCCTCGGGGCCGGCGGCACTCCTCTCATCGGCTCGCATAGAAAAACGCCTCGACAGGAAGTCTTGAGGAGATAAGCAGCTGACGCAGCTGTGCGGTACGACTTCTCAAGAATCGGCAGAAATGCACTCAAAACGGGGTCATCAAAACCCGTGTGTGGTTTGAGACGAATCTGCATGTAACGCTGTGTGACACACTTGAAGCTAAAAAAAAAAAAAAAATTAATTAAAACGTCTGCGTCGGCAGAATAGGTGTTAGGTGTTGTTCATCCCAGCAAACAAACAAAACCTTCTGCACCTGAAATGCACGACAGCAGGTGTTCACATGCAGATTCATGGGCTTTTATCTTCATTCAAAATGTTCCTAACATTTAAAAAGATATGAATACAGTCTCATATATATTGAAAGGTACACGAAATAATATTAACTTTATTAAGGACAAAATAACAATGGCATCTGTAATAAACGGTTACACACATTTTTCATGTAAATATCTCAAGATTTAAGTAACAGAAACAAATATCAGACAATAGTTTCATTTTACTGGTTGTAAAAACACTGGAGTGCTATTTGTTCAAAAGCTACAAAATACATTTCAAAAGCAGGAAGTGTTTCATTTCCTTCAAGGAAAAAAAAAGAAAAAAAAGTACTATAAAATAAGTTACAGTACAGTGAATTTGTCCAAACTGACTTTTGTTCCCGTCTTCCACCCTTTTGTAAGCACAAACCAAAGTAGGATCAGAAAGAAACCAGGTCTGAAAACCGTCGTCTCACCCGTGGGGTAAAAAAAAAAAAAAAGGAATTACACAGCCGGGTGGTAAAGAACAGTGTGGCGTTTGTGAAAAAAAAGAAACATAAAAAAAGGCACACAAAGGCTTCTGAAAATGTCAAAAACATTCAGGTCTTCATCATCTGCAGGTCACATGTCTGGTATCGTTAACAGAAACTGTTCTGTACTTCATGAGCTCAGGGGAAAAAAAACCAAATACTTCATGTTTAGTCACAAAATACGGAGGTGAGCCTCATACATCGTCAGCTGGCAAAGGAGGTATGTTGAACCTTGGTCTGGTGAAAAAAGCCATCTTCTCTCTGCAAAAAAAAAAAATGAAGCAGATTAATGCAAAACCTGTTACTGAAAAGTGCGGCGTGCATTTATAGTTAACCCCTTTATTTTTATATCCTTTTCCACCTTTACCTAAACAATTCATGTGAGCTTTTAGAGTTTAGCCAACACATTTTACTGAGCCTATTTTCTGCAGCTGTTGCAAAGACTGATAGTGGCAAGCTATGGAACAATTTAGTCGTGACAATTTATCATATGGTAGATCTGTGAGCAACAGAGAAACAGCCGAGAGGATCGTGGTAACTCTGGAGGAGCTGCAGAGATGAAAAGCTCAGGCAACATTCAACTATTTTGACCTTTTTTGGGTACGTGACGAGAAGGGGAAAATAAAGGAAATCAAAGCAGCTCATCTTCCCTTAAAACTTTGGAAAAATGTGTCAGCTTCATGTTTGGGTCTGTTTTGGCAACGTTATGTTTTCTGAATAAGAGGCTTGTTGACTATGCAAGACAGCATTCACTTGATCTGTGATCACACCCCAGCATCATGTTTAAGATTGGTGCATCTGTCAGACTTTACCATTTTTCAGTCACACCTGTCTTTTGGAATAAAAGTTGCCTAATAACAAAGGACACCTTCGTATAAAGTGCTGATCTTTTCAGCCCATCATCCCCACTTAAACATAAATCATCTGATATGATTAAAACCTATTAGCTTTCAAGTTTACAACAGTTTAGAGCTGAAAAACACTTATGATTTGGCTAAAATGCTCATTTGGCTACACAGTTGGCACATTGTGTACACGGTGAAGCTAATTTGCTAGCATTAAAATGCTGGATTTTTGTTTTTAACAAACAGGAAAAGCCAAGCAATACTCCTGGTCTCCGTTTTCTTGCAGTGGCATGCCTGAAATTGGTTGTCATATCCCAATAATTTACGGCAGGGTTGGTCTGCCAACAAAAACTACTGCTGTTTTAACAAGGGAAATTGTAGCTGCTTGCAAGCAGACATTGATGGAAACTTGGCAAACAAAGCTATTTTTGCAAAACGTTTTATGAAAAAAAAAAGAATGCATTAAAATTCATGTAAAATGAAGAGATGTGAATTTGTTTTCCAACCTGAATGTCTGCACCGGCAGGGGTTCCTTCTGGTTCTGCCCTCTCATCTGCAGAACCTCTTTGGAAGCCTTCCTCAGCCTCCTCTCCGCTGCCTCCTCCTGACGCTGCTCCTGCTTGCTCTGGTTGGCCTGCAGGGGGCGACACCACAGTCAACTTGCTGCTGAGGGGCAATCAAAGCCCCCGCAAGCGAAACTTTTCTGCAACAATCCCCACGGAGGTGAGAAGCAGTCCGTATAAGCATAAGCATCGTATCGTGCTCTTTCTCAAAACAAAATCTCTTCAATGGCGCTGGTGTGAAGTACGCAGCAGTTACGAAAGCGCACATGGGGTACGGTACAGCAGTGTGTGCATAAACGGTATGCACTGCTGTACCGTTTATACAACAAATGAACGGCCTGTTAAAAACAACGGCAAACCACATTGTGCTGTGTTTTGCTACTTAACCTGTTCAGAGTAGCCCACTTCCTGACAAGGAAATAAATGTTACATGGACACTTTGTTCATGGGAGACAGGTTTCTGTTTACAATGAGACGTAAGCTAGCGAGGTGGAAGCTAAAGGAAAGCGAATGAGCGTTAAACACGCTAAACCACAGCGGAAATGGATTGCAACTACAGCTGACTCAAGGCGTCTTAAAACTGGAACTTTTTCCCTTTTCAATATCCGAAAATAGCCGTCAGTTTTCAGGCAGCGGTCTCGCGTGAACGTCGCCATGTCGGGTTTTACCTGTCTGTGGGCCTCTCTGAGCAGGCAGCGGAAGCGCTCGTCCCTCAGGGCCCAGGAGGGCAGCTCGTTGGCGTCGCTGGCCTGTGGCTCCTCCAGCCGCAGCTTGAGTTCCCTCAGGGCGCTCAGCTCCTCCATCAGCTGCCGCTGACGCGTCCTGCAGGCCTGGAGGTCCAGCTCCAGGTCCAGGGAGGTCCGCGTTGGCTGCTCGGCCAATGAGGAGCGGTACGACTGCTGCTGACGCACACAAACGCACGTCTTGAACTACACAGCCTACAAAGATGCTGGAAGGATTTATTCGGATTTTATGTGACAGACCAATATAAAAAAAAACTGCTTACGGTTTTGGTTGAATTTTCACTTCACAGCAAATTTGATAAACATCCAACAAGCTTCACTCTATGGCTAAAACTATCAATCAGCTTAATCGTGATCAATCGATTATTGAAACAATCGTCAACTAATTGATTAATCGTTAAATGTAGTATACAGACTCAAAAAAACAGCTGAAAGAACTACACAGCAGTAAGTCAGTCAAAAGTGTACAAAAACATATATGTATATATATATCTTGCATTTAAGATAGGGGGGAAAAGCTTTGTAAACATTCTCTACCAAATACACATCAAGAGTTATTTTAGCTTCACCTGGTTCAAATTCTGTAAAAGAAAAAAGAAAAAAGGAATCAAGTTGAGTTTTGCATCTTGTAATGCAATTCTAATATTATATAAAAGACACTCAAATGGAAAATTTGGCAGACAGTGCCAAATAATCAGTTAATCAGCAGAATAATCAAGTAGTTAACTACTAACTAAAGTAACCGTTAGTTACAGCCCTACTTTATGCATGTGTTCATTATATTAGGCTAATTAGCGCATGATCTTCATCATTTACAGATTCCTTTTCTACCCACATCTGGCTACTTTGTACATTTTACTAGAACACTGCATGTGTAGTTTATTGATGAATTAAAAATGAAACATTTTGCAAGTAAATTAATTAGGCGTTCGCAATATAAAATTAGTTGAACATTTATGGTCAGTGAGTCCCTTCAACTTTGATTTTGGCTCATGGGACAAAAAGAAAATGTGCCAGAAAGTAAACAAACCTGAGACTCTCAACTTTATTTTTTAAAAATAAGTTAGGATTATTCTGCATTTAGCTCCATCTTTTCTTCTATCAACTCTATGGTATTCCTGCTGAAGCATGGTCCTGCCACCAAGGATTTAAAAACTTTTTTTTTTTCATAAAAAAAAAAAACCATTCACTTAAAATCCACCTGACAGACACTAAAGTTTGTAAAGTTTCAGCACCTGCTTGTATCGGAGTGTTCTTCTCTCCAGGGTGTTTCTGACAAAAGGCAACTTCTTTGGTAAAGTGGAGCTGTCGCTGTCACTGCGATATAACTGGAAAAAAAACAAAAAAACATTTAAATCAGGACCAGAGAATAATTCACACACAGTTTACGGTTTGTTTCATTTCACTTCGGAGCTGAACTCACCCTGCAGACGTAGTGACTCCGCGCGCCAGGCGAGAAGGTGTGGGAACGAACGATGGTGCTGCCCCGCATGAAAGGGGACGCGTGACCCCAGCGACCCCCTCTCTCTTTGGGTCGGACCTGAACCGGCTCCGGGAACGGCGCCTCCGTCATGGTGGCCTTCTCAACCTGGAAACACGGAGTTGCTGAATTCTCATGTTCATGGAGGAAGAAAGTTTAAAAAAATAAAAACCTCAACACAGCTGCAGCTTTTACCTTTACTGAAAAGTGTCTGCTGGGAGTCTGATCGCAGCGCCCCCCGGTGGGGAGGTAGACGCCCTCGGTGGACAAACCCTCCGAGGAATGAGTTGGAAACGCTGTGATGTTGCTGTAGTCGCTGTGTGCAGACTCTGCCTGCCAGCCCCTGGAAAACACACACACACACACACACACACACACACACACACACACACACACACACACACACACACACACACACACACACACACACACACACACCATGAAAACAAATAAATTACAAAGACACAGCTTTAACCTGATATCCCAGGTGGTGATGAATGGTACGATATCATCTATGATGCAGAATTTTCTCAAGGAGACTTCAAGCAATTCAAACTCAAAGATGTGATTAAAATTCAAAACGTAGATCTGTCATGATAAATTTTACTGGATGATAAATTGTCCCAGAGGTTATTACGATAAATGATAATGCTGTTTTATGTAATATAGTGGTAACGGCATAATAAAGCAACAAAAGATTCTCGAAGATCAATAAACTTCAAATTCTAATGAACATTTAATACTGGAACTGGAAGACATTTTAATTGTCCAGAATAAATAAAGAAAACAACAAACAAATTAAATGAACTATGAGATATCTGAAGATTTTTGTCATCCAGTTTTGGTGGAAAGTATTGAGGTCGGTTTAATTGATCAAGAAATTAATTGATTTATTACATCCTTTTGTTTAGATTTCTTCTTTATCCTTACAGGAGAAATGAATATAATTCTATATAAAGAGATTAACAGAGAGCGAATGGAAATAAAAAATTGAAAATTACATTCCAGTTATTTCAAATGTGCTTTTACGTCAGTAGATCGTTTCCTAGGCAACAGAAAAGCCACCAAATCACACCCAGTCACGGACTCGTCCAGGTTCATGGCTTCATGTTTTAAATGACCGTCTGCATCCAAAGCAAAACGTGTCGCCCAGTTTACACTTTATTTGATGCAAACGACTCCATTCGACTCTCGCCTTCTTCAAAGTAAACGTTTGTGCCGCTGTCATTTTCAATATTTCAGTGAATCTTTCCAGAGGTCATCGAAGGTCAGCCAGCCCGTCCACATTTACAAAATCACGTGTAATATGGCGCCAATCAGCTGCACAGCAAAAGATTTCTATTTGTGGTGTTATTTTTAGGTTTGCAAAAACTAGAGATCAACTCTTATGACCCAAAACAAAACTGATATAGTATTAAAACTTTTGGCACCAATTTTGTTTAATCTGCAGACGACTGGTGGGGGAACTTCACTCAGGTCTCCATTCAGACTTGAGTGAAGTCTGAATGTTTTTTTTTATCCTAAAACAAAACAACCCCCCTCCCTACACAGTGGAAGCAGAAGGACTTTACGTTCAGTCACCTCTCAGACGTCGCCTCTCCACGCACGTCCTTCTCCGAGTGCTGCAGCTCCAGCTCTGAGCCCCGCTCCTCCGGATGGGTGGAGGAGCGCGACAGCAGGGTGGAAATGGTGTCCTATGACATGAGAGCAAACGCCATCGTCACACTAAAACTCTTCTTCCTCATGTCAGTGACGAGAAGATGATCATAAAATTAGCACAATAAAGATGCAATTTCACCAGAAGGACGTCTTAAAATTAGGAGGAGAACTTTAATAAGAAAAAAGAAGAAGCTCCGTAACAGACTGTCATTTGATTGGTTTGGGTCAGAATGCACAGATAAAACCCGTTAAGATAATAAATAATAAAACGCTGCGTGTTCATTAGATGTGCTTTTTAAAATTAAACACGGAGCATCTTTTCACATTGATGCAACGTGGCAGCATATAAATTAAAACTGCTTTGATCTGACTGATAGAAACAGTATTTAAGCAAACAACTGTTATCTTGAAGGTTGTATTAATGTGGCTCTAGAGTCTGGAGGGCCACATAAAGAGTAACGACAGGCTGGATTTGGCCCCCAGGCCTCGAGTTTGACACACGCGTCAGAAGATGGAGTATTACTTTAACTGTAAAACTGACACCAAAGTATAACTTCACAGGACGCTCAGCTTTCCTCGTTATTTTTCAGGTTGGGGTTCTGCTTCATTCTCCTAACATTACGACTGGATTCTGGGAACGTCACTGATGTGTCATCACAACTTTATTCACGGATCAGTACCACTGTATTCTTGTATTAATAGGACTTCGTTATGATTAAAAATTTGAAAAGCCAGTCTATTGCACAAGCGGGCAGACTGTGATGGACGGATCTCATGCTCACGGCGCCCCCTGCAGGTGGCGAGTCATATTACACAGCAGAGTTTGTTGCCATCGGTATAAAAGTGCTGAAGACACTCAGTCGTTTTCACATTCTGCCACATTACAACCAAAACCTTCAGTGCATTTCTTTGGGGACTGGAAGCGATCGACAACGTAGTGTGTGATCATGAAGTGGATCACACACTTCATTTGTATTTTTTATTTTTTTTAAAAATCAGAGAAGCAAGGTGTGTGTATTCAGTAGCTCTAACTACTACACGTTTTGCCAGCCTTTGCATATCTACAGACTAAATTTAGGTGCGGACTTTGACTGGATCATTCCAACATGAACACAGGTGTTTTACAGTATTTTTTGTATTTGGCTCCATTCATCTCCCACCACCACCACCATGCTACTGCTGCCGCCGTTCTCCACAGTGGGAACAGTGTGCCGTGTTAAATTTAAACCTTCATCCATGTAGACCAAATGTTGAACTCAAGCTTCATATGATCAGAACTAATGTTTGGAATAAAGATTTTATCACAACACTTCTTGTGATAGCGATAAGTGATAAACTATTGAGTGTTTTTTGTTTTGTTTAACTTTATAACTGTAAAAACGGTAATTATAGCTCCACAAATATTGTTCTTGAAAAACATGCCAATTTGAAACAGGATGCAGCTTACAGAAATGTGTGATTTATATCACTAAACTGCTCACAGTAGTTGCATTTAATCATGTTTCAAATGATTAAATGCAGTTTAATCATTTAAAACATGATTAAACTGTTAATTAAAATTTATGAGGTGATAAATCAACACGTTTTTCACCATAAAAATGATAAATGCCGAATACTAATCAGAACAAATTCAGAGGCTGCAACAAACTAATGGGGACTTCCTGTTCATTTCTTTAAACGATAACTTTCTTTTCTTCCATACATGCTAAAATGAAACTACACCTGCCCAGATCATATTTCTAGGTCTTAAATCTTAAATCCTGTGTAACATTTGTGCCGCTTCTCAAATAAGCACAACTCTGCTTTGACCAGATTTGTGGCCTTGACGCGGAAAAGTTAAAGGGGTGTGAATAGTTTTGCAAGTCGCTGTTCATCCACGTGGCTGAGACCGTTTACCGTGGCTCTGGACCGCGCCTCGTCCTCCTGGTTGTCATGGGTCCGGCGGCTGAGGGTCCTCTGCGAGTCGGTCAGCATATGGACTCGCAGACAGTGGTAAACCATTTCGGCGCTTCCCTCGCAGTCCGCCAGGCTCAGCTTGGCCGTGCCCTGCGGGGGGAACGACGGAGGTGCACGGTTCAGGAGGGGAGTCTGAGGAGGCACGCGGCTTCAGCAGCGACGGCTTCCTGTCAGACCCACCAGGACCTCCTCCTGAGCCTGGGGGCCCAGCGAGCAGACCGACAGCTGCAGGGCGCACACCGCCAGCGCGTTGGCGGGGACGGGGATGCGGAAGCCTTCGTTGAAAGTCATCTGGCTCTGCGGCTCCAACGCGGTGCAACAGTAGAACGCACAGGCCCTGCTGGCGTCCAGGGGAATCAAGTGGACCTTCACATACCTTCAGGCAAACACAGCACAAGGAAGACCAGAGGATGCTTCAGGCATCTGGATCACACAGATCTAACAGGGTTCATGCTGAACATGAAGAAGAAGAAAACATTCACAGTAGTTTGATGTTTCATTTTGTTTTAAGGTTGACAGACTGGATTTTTTTCCTCATCTCCATAGTGTTTCTGAAGAAAATCTGAAGATCTTCTTTTGATTTTTGTTGGCAAGAAATGTTCGGCATGGTTTACCGCCACCTACTGGTACGGAGTGTGGCTCAAAACATCCATTTTATTTTTTTACATTTAGTATCAAAGATCATATTTAACATTTGAATACTTTTACTTCCTGAATTTCCCTGCAGCATATTTCTTAAATTAAATGTTTCATTTTACATACGACAGAAAAGTCCCCATGGGGAAAAAAACCTCCATTAAAAAAAATGTAAAACCCATGATTAACGTATTTAAGACTAAATTACTTTTTAATTTTCTTAATTATTCAAGGTCTTATTTTAGACATACAAATTTAAAACTAAGAATGAATGGACACCAATTAGTGGAGATCCACAGCTATGGTGGGAGAATCTAACAGAAAGCTATTAATGAAAAATTTTATGTTTTCAGATGGTCAGAACTTACAAGACCTTGAATAGAAATGTGCACAACACTTCATATTCCAGTAAAGGAAACTGAAAAAGTAATTATGCACTAGTGTGTGTCGGTCTGTCAAACACACAAAGTTGGTAAGTGAAATAGTTGAAAGGGCGTGAATATTTCTGTATGTGTTGCAGCTTAAAGTTACCAAGTGTGAGAAGAAACTATGAAAATCCCAAAATATGCTTGATATCTACATGAGCAGCTTATCAGAGCAGAAAAACCATCCAGTGTCTTAAAGTCATATTTTATCATTTCAATAAGAAAACCAGTTCTGTACAGACAGACTTGAGCTCTTCTATTCTGCATTTACAAAAGAAAATTGTCACTTTAATTGCAACAGCTGAAAATACTCACACTTTATAGCTTTCTCTAACATTCGAACAGTTCAGACTCTTCAGCTGCAGCACATGCAGCCGCAGAGACCGAGAGGTGGATTCCCACCTGTAAAAACACAAACAGAAAACACAAGGTCAACATGAGGTCAACATGAGGAAACTGATCCCAGCCCGACTGCCGTCTAGAAACGCTCTTCGACCAGAGCAGACTTACAGCAGTCCTAGCTGGATCTGGGTGGGCTCGCTTGCAGGGGACGTCTCTTTGGCGTATGAAACCTCGTCGTACTCCTCTGGCCTATAGAAACAAAACAACGCATCCGCAGGTTTCAGCAAGACAAAGTGAAGTATTTTCAAGACCCTGTTAATACCTCCTTGAATGAAATTTAAGACATGAAAATCTGTCGATGTCGTGTGAGATTCTGCTGCGTTACGATCAAACGCAGCAAAAACATGAACATTTCTGGGCTCTGTTTGGTTTTGTGTTTCACACACTGCGTCCGTGTGTGCGTGTGTGTGTGTGTGTGTGTGTGTGTGTGTGTGTGTGTGTGTGTGTGTGTGTGTGTGTGTGTGGCTCTACAGCTTTCACCCTCATAATGCGGAGCTTAAAAGTTTGCTTTAGCACAGAAAGTAGCAGGTTTGCCAACAGAAGTCAGTCAACGGTGAAAAACTCGAGCCAACTGGAGCTAAAACTGATCTTTGCTCTAGAGCAGTGGTTCTTAACCTTTTTTGAGGTACCAAACCCACCAGTTTCAAATGCACATTCACTGAACCCTTCTGTAGTGATAAATAAAATATGATTTTAGATAAATGAATTAAAGATTTTTAAGGGTTCGCAGAAAATCTGTTTTCTTTCCATGCTGAAACAAGTTGCAGAAATCACTTCAGGACACGCAGTAGTTGAATCGATTTCTAACTAACCTGATTCCTGTGGGGATTAGCTGTTGCTTTGAATTCAAAGGCAGCAACAACATATTGTTCCTGTTAATGTTCTTTTTAACAGCTCTCTCACCTTTTACCCCACGCCTCGAACACGCCGCTGTCCGTGGCCAGAGCGTCCTCGGAAACCCCCGCCGAGACTCGCCTGGCTCTCCTGCTGCTCCGGTTGCCGCTGTTGCCCCGTAGCGTCACCCCTAGCAACAGAGGAGTAGAAAATCTGGATATGCTTTGGCTGAAGAGATTAATCGATTACAGATGTAATCGTCAGGTAATTTAGTAAATCGATTAATTGTTAACTGGAGAATACAGACTGAAAAAAAAAATAATCTGTTGAAACAAAAACACCACAAGGAGAACAGCACAAAGCCAGAATTGTACAGAACACATTTAGTATTTAAGATAAAAGAAAAAAACGGTTGTAAATATGGTCAACCCAGAACTCCTCTAGTAGCATTGTAACTTTAGCTTCACTTCTGTAAAAACAAAAATTATTTAACACCTTTTGAATTTGATTTTTAATTGGTTAACAGTCGTGTCAGCAGGTTAGCACTACGCTGTATAGATGGCAAGTCAAGCAGGAAGAGCTGAGCTTCTCACAATCATCAATCATCCACTAATAGAATATTCTCTTGTTGCAATTCAGCAAGTGAAATATTTTATTAATTTTTAATTATGTGCATCTTTTAATGCATTTCTAATTGTGTACAAAAAAGCCTTAAAATGCAACAAAAAATATCTACAGAGTGTTCCAAACTTTGTATCCGATTAATCGTCAGAATAAATTGATAGAAAAAGCAAAAACTGAAGTTGTTAGTTGCAGCTCTAGAATATTCCAGATTAGTTTCTGTAGTTTATAGGAGGGGAGAGGGCTGCACTGCGCCTACCTGTGGAGGTAAAGGCCGTCTGAGCCCCGCTCTCTCTCTGGCTCTTGATGTCCAGCTGGTGCAGCGCAGCGAGGCTCGCCATGTCCTCGCCGCCCATCAGGACGCCGTGCGACACGCTTTGCGCCCGCAGCTCCTCCAGCAGGCCGCGCCCTGCCTGCTCCATGTACTCCTCCGTCATCTGGGTGAGAGGGCAGTCCGGCGGCGCCGAGTGGTACGGCGTGTCCATGGGCGAGCTGGGCGGAGACAGGGACGAGAGCGAGGAGCGGGAGGAGAGGGAGGCCAGGGACTGCGGGGTGTCGTGCGAGCGCTTGCTCTTGCTCTGAGCCAGGTACTCGGGGCTTAAGACCGAGCAGTCTCTGGACGCGCTCTCCGGGGGCAGCAGGTAACGGACGTGGGGGTCGAGGGGCTCCGCTGCCCCCTCATGGCGCTCGTACTGCGGCACGCCGTAGATGTCGCTGAAGCTGATGGAGCTGAGGGAACCGCGGCTGGACGTCAGGGAGCCCCGGCTGGAGGCCAGAGAGCCGCGGCTGCTGCTGGAGGAGACCGTCAGGGAGCTGGCAGACAGGCTGGGGACAGACCAGAGACAGCTCTGAAGACACTGTCCAGAGGGTTTTTATTCTCTATCCTCAGTTCACCGACTGTAAAAACACAGCTTAGTAATCAAGTATGGATTTCCTCTACAACATGAGTTAGAAATGCTCTTTAAAAGGGGTAGAATAACGCAATTCCTGTCACATAATGTTATTTTATAGCACAATCAACTAACTATGCTACTTTAGTTGCTATGAAAATGTATCAAATATGGCTTAAAATGAATTTGACTTCATAATTGAAATTGGGTCTCTGTCTCTTTAAGAAACTCCTGCTTTATCTGAAACTCCGCCTTCAGGAAGTCATCACAACATGGCTCCTTTATTAACTCTTTAACGTCTTTACTAGTGTTGCACTGAGCAGTAGCTCCTATAATGAGCTAAGCAGCTCCACCAGGTGTTTGCCAATTGCTGCTGGCTAGTCTGAAGGAGCTGAGTGGAGGTCTACAGATGCTGGAAACATCTGAGGAGGAGCTTTGCCCTCGAAGGCAGGACTAGGTCGACTCAGGTGTTTTCCAATAGTTGCCATGAAGATTAAAGGATTTCTCAAACATGCAAGAAAGAATCAAGGCAACACTCCAGGTATGTTTATGATGAGAGAATATAACATGATCTAAAGCTAAAAAAAGTGGATTTTACATGATGCTGCCCCCTTAAGAACGATCTCCTGTAAAGTGACCTGATCAGAAGTATTTTTGAGTGGAAGTTTGTTTTTGGGAGGATTCTTGATGAAATATCGACTTCAAACACAAACAGAAGCACCGGCCATGAAACAAAGCTGTCAAACAGCCGAGTAGCTCATGTGAGGCTGACTGCTTTTGCAGGAAAGCAGCAGCGTGCGGCTCACCTCTTCAGCTGGGAATGAAGGTAGGTGGTGATACGCGTGGCCTCCTGCAGCTGCCTGAGCAGGACGTTCCTCTTCTCCTGCTGCAGCAACCTGTCGGCAGGAGAAACAAAAGCGCAACGACGACGTCACCCGACTCGGTTGGCGGTGCGTCAAACGCGCAAGCAGAATCGGCCTTGAGGGATTTGTATTCCTGCCATCTCACCTCTGATTGGCTCCCTGGCTCTGGATGGTGTGGGCTCTCTGCACCTCCTCCTCCAGCTTGGCGCGCTCCTCCTCCAGCTGCTGCTGCGTCTCGGCTGCGAGCGGCTGCTTGCTGACCAGGATGAGCTCTTGCAGGAGGGCCTCCTTCTCGCGCAGGAGCTGCAGGAAGTCCCTGTCACGGTCCGCCTCGGCGCGGCCCGACCAGCTCTCGCTGTCGAGCTGCGCGAGTTGGTGCTGGATGCTCTGCACCCTGACAGGACAGCAAAACAGTCAGTTCTCTCATTTACTCCTCATACTTGGGACTCTTGTAGTCAGGAATGGGTAAGTACAGCTACTTTTTTCAGTCATGTTGGAAGGGAAAATGACAGTTAAAGTTCACATGCTGATGTCCAGAAGGAGACCAAAAGAAACCAAACATTTATGTAAATACTAGATATGTTATCAACAAGCTAACAGTTTCAGTGTTGTGCGGTTATTCCATATACTTAATCAGCTATGATGAAGATGGTCGTGTTACCACAAACTTCAGTGTTTGGTTATCCGAGACAGACAACCGCGAAAATTGACAGGCCAGTGTAACGCTACAAAGTGATATTCACAGAAGTTTCCCATCTAAACTGAAAAAGGTTGAGTTATTTTGCACAAAAGAAAACAAAAGAAAGCTGGCAAAATGTGCAAACCTGACCCTTCAGACTTGAAGTTTAATTTAGCTGTTCACTCAGGGAAGCTTAATACAGATCCTAGTCTTTTGTTTCAAAAACCTCTACAATCTGTGTTGGTGCAGAAAAATAAAAAACAGATAGACTTCCAGAAACTAAATTTAGTACATTACATTTTAAGTTTTCCATACTGCAAAACATAAAAAAAAAACAAAAAACAAAAACAGTTTCTCATTTTCTGTGTATAAACTATGAATTTAAATCCCTGCATATCCTGTCCAGTTTTGTATGATTAATATTTTGTTTGAAAGACTGTTTTAATACTATAACCGAACAGCTTTTGAGTGTTTATTAATAAGAATTTCTGTATATTTTTTCCTTTTACTTAGTTTGGTTATGCCAATAAAGTTGCTGTCTTTATAGTCATAACTAAAAAGTTATTTGCGCTAACCCTTAGGCAGTGATCATAAACATTGCTTTCAATAAAGAACTACACTGTATTTAGCAGAGCCTAAAAGTTAGGAAAAGCACTAAGCATAATATTAGCCCAGTTATTAGTGAACTATTTTTCAACAGTGGGCACACTTCTGCTGATTCTCTACTAGCGGAGCAAAATTTTTGTTTAGCGCTTTTGCTAACTTTGAAAACGTTAGCTCTCCCTAAATGAATGTTTCAGGGTAAATCCTAAAGGGCTAGTTTATTTGGCGGCTTTGTAAAATTTAAGCTAAACAATGTTCAACATCTGTGTTCACTAGTAATGATTCTTCAAGTAGTTGTTACACATTTATATTCATGCTCTTATTTTGAAATGGACTGATAACACAACAGTTCTGTTTCCTCATGTTCCCCGTTTTCTTTCCTCCAACAACAATTTCAAACAAGAAAATATGAAACGGACAGAAAAAGATTTAAATGCAGCATCTAAGGGAATTTTAAAACATACAATGTATAATGTCAACATTAAAAATTGATGCATCTTTCAAAGCCAGATATAATTTGAACTGAAGTTAGCACTTTAGCATTAGCTTTGGCTAAATACCATATTGGTGTAGTGCTTTAAGGTTAGGGAAACTACCTTTTTAGTTAGTTGAGCCCACCACTAATTTTCAACTTGTTGAATTTTAAAAATAGCAGGAAAAATATTTTAGGTAGCAGGTTTTTGTAAAACTCTTCCTTTATCTAAACGAATCCAGACATGGAAAATGGTAAAAACACGCCGTAGCAACAGAAATCTTTTAACTGATCAACTTCTAATAAATATTTAACAACAAAAGTTGTTTCTAAAAAGCCACTTGTAACCATCAACAGAGCAATATTAACTCTGCTGGGAGAACTCAACATGCGTTTACTCTGAACAAGTATTTATGGCAACAGGAAGTCAACAGCGCTGGGCTCCTGCAGGTGGAAACTGACTGGGAGGTTCACTCGGACCTGAAACAATCTGGGGAATCGCTCTGTCAGCTGATAAAATAATCGGTTTATATGAGCTGGATTTCAGAAGAAGTGACTCAGCATGAAAGTTTCCCTTCTTTGCTGCTCTGACTCTGATGTCATGGCTTGGCACTGCTGTTGGTGGGTCCCCACAGCAACATGAGTCTCATAAAAACGATTACGATAGAGCCGGTGTAATGACACGGCCTTCTTTTTGTGTCCCCAATTAGACGACACACAAGCCCTTTTTTGACACCACAGTGTCAAGCGTGGTCTAATGGCGTCATTTAAAAGCACAGCTTGTATTTTGGGCCACCTTGTGGAGGACCAGGCTGTGCGCTGCGGCTGGGCGGTGGGCAGTCCTATTCTGGCTGAGCACACAAAGGCAGCACACAGTCAGCAGCAGCACAGCCAGTGAAGAATGTGACCACCCAGCTCTTTCTGCTGGCCAGACATCCCTCAGCGGCCGATGGACCCAAATACTATTCATAACTCGTCCTCCCACCCTTCCAGGGGGCAGTATTCGGAGGTGGTGGTGGGGAGGGGGAGGGGTGCGTTGCTGCAGGGGTTAGTGATTCGGTGCTGCATGCTTCTGCGTCTCGGTGCTACCACTGACAAAACAAACAGCTGGGCAGACTTACTTCTTCTTGGCTTCTTCGTACTGCCAGTTGAGCTTGACTTTATCCACCAAATGGGAAGAATCTTGGGAACCATACTTCAGAAAGAAAGGAGAACGCAAAATGTTAACATGGCCTGATAACTCAGATGAGCACTGAAACGATTAATCGATTATTGAAATAATTGTCAACTAATTTAGTTATTGATTAATCATTAACTGGTGCATACAGAGTCAAAAAAGGCCATTTGCTGAAAGAACAAGACACTCCAAGCAGTAATATAGCCAAAACTGTACAAATGTATATATATATATATATATATATATATATATATATATATATATATATATATATATATATATATTTGCGTTTAAGATTAAAATAAACATCTGAATATGTTCTAGCCAGAACTCTGGTAGTTTTAAGCTACATCTGATTCAAATTCTCTACAAACCAAAATCTCCTATTAAGCATCTTTTGCTGTCCAATTATTAATAGATTAATTGAAAAAAATGTCAAACCATAAATGATCAGCGTACAATAAAGAAATGTTCTGTTATTCCACTTTAGACAATTACAAAGTTTAAACATTTTCTAAATTAAAACAGGACTTTAATTACTTGTTTACTTGCATCTTTTAACATGTTTACAATTCTGTATAAATTAACTTAAATGGTTGAATGACAAAATTTGGAGAATTCGCCCATTTTATTTTAGCTGATTAACCGTTCAATTAATCAATAGAACAATCGATTACAAAAATAATCAATAGTTGCAGCTCGGATAGCACAACCCAAACCTACAAAGTTATTCGCTGGAGACGTTATGAGATTAATACACACAGCCGACCTCCGTATAAATCAGATATTAAGGCAGTTGTGTGACCCCTGACCTCTCCCATGATGTCCGTCTGGCAGCCGGTTTCGCAGTACTGCTGCGGACTGTACGGGTCGCCGGCGGTGGTGGTGCTGATCGCCACCTCGCCAGCTGCGTCGCCGATGGACAGGCTGCTCTGGAAGTTGGCAGTCAGCTTAGCCAGGCTCTGAAAAACAGAAAATTTATATTCAGATAAATCTTTACATTCAAAAGACAGACATTTAAACAACTTCAGCCTGAAAGCAGACTGAAAGAAATCAACAAAACCCTTAAACAGCTTCCAGAGGCCGTTTGTTTGACCTTCATTAGATGTGTAAAAGTAGAAAAAGTTTTAATCTTTAAAAGAAACATGAAGGTCGGACCGGTAAAGACAGGAGCTTCTGGAATATTGTTCTCTGGACAGAAAACATGTTTGGCATAAACCAAATACTGACATCACTCTACGTTTTCCTATGCTGCTTTTTTTAATATACATTTTACTTATTTAAAAAAATAAAGATTCAGTTTTTTTGTTTGTTTTTATCTCCAATCAAAATCAGTTCCTTTATCAGAGCTAACAATGTCTGATGGTTTCGTCACTCAGTGGAAGCAGAACAGTAGACGGAAACGGACACTAGAGGTCAGCATCAAATATGCAAACTGCCGGTGCGCCTGCTGTGGGTGGAGTGAGGAGGAGGCAGTCACCTGGATGAGGTCCTGCCTCTCCTTCTCGCCTGTGCTGATGGACTTCTTGATGCTGCGCAGCTCGCTGAAGATGGCCTGAGCCTCGTCCAGCTTGTAGTTCGTCTGACTGGAGGACATCTTCCTATCAATCCTGAAGGAAAACATCAAACATGTTCGCTTAGCAGACGAGTAGCTCTTAAGTTTTCATTTGACTCATTTCCAGTATCTGTGAAGATAGTGGAAGTGAATCACTATTTAGGCTACATCTGACAAAATACAATTGCGCATCTTTTTCCTACCTGATAAATAAAAACAATTTCAAACTGATTTTAACTGTTGTATTTTCGCAAGTCATTTTGTTAAACTTGACAAAGAAAAGCAAAAACAAAAGGAATCTGTAAAGGAGAAGGAATTTCTGTGGGAGGTTTCGTTCATCAATAACGTAACGGTTTATTTTCCAGGCTTTCCCAGGTTTAGTAAGCGAGATATGATTTTTAGAGCCAGCTCACTCACAATGCGCCAACAGGAAGTGAATAAGTCCAATCACACTGCAGGCCTCCTCAAGTGTGCAAATATTACGCTTTTTCACATTAGACTCGTTGCATTTAGAAAGTTTTTTTACGCAAGCGGCCAACAATGTTGAAATCAAGTTGACTTAAAGATAATAAATCTGAAAAGTGTGGCATGCATTTTTCATATTAAGCAGGTATTCCCCAAAACTTCTGAACATCATTAACTAAATACTAAAAAAAATCCCATTAGGTGAAATAAAGACATAATCAAAGCAGTAATTAATCTAAATCTGTGTGCATAATATATACATTTTTCATTTAAGATAAAAACCTTGCGAACATATTCTACCCAGAACTCCTAAAGTGGCATGGTTTTATGTTAACATTTACAAAGAAAATGCTACGAAAAGGATTGAGTTATTTGCACTTTTAAATGAATTTCTATTGCATAAGAAAGTGGTTAAACGAAACATCTGCAGAATGTGCCATTTTTTAAAATAAATCCCGTTAACTGATTAATTGATAAATAAAATAAGGGTTGGTTGTGTAGGGGTGGAGTAGGGAGGGTGCGGCGTGGTTAGCTCTCCTGCTAACTTCAATCTCCTTCAGCAGCAGGTTCTGTCCATCCTGACCCAGAAACGGGCTCTGCTTCGTCTCTCCTCTCCAACTCTCTGGTGGAGCCTGCGAGGTTCAAACTTATGTCCCCAGAACAAAAATTTTTTAAAACTACCACTCAGTGCCAACCACCCTATAGGCTCGCATTTCCTTCAGTCTGCCGAGGCGTGACGACAATCCACCAGGATGTCAGCTGGACAAGCCGTGAAAATGTTTGTGAAACTCGCAAAGATAAGGAGGTGCAAAGATGAAAGATAGCCTAAACCCCAACTCCTGACTTCTTTAAGGGTCGTAGTAACGATTATTAGAGTGGGTTTGGTTTGGGGGTGGAGGGTGTGCACCAGAAACTGTATCAGCTTATCTGATGTGGTGAACAATTTGTTCTATTGCTGATCACAGCTAAAATTAACCAGAAAATAACAATACAAAAACACAACAACAACAGCCTGAAGGGTCACTCCTGTTCTGAACCCAAGCAATCTGCACAGAACAATGGGACGCGCACAGACCAGCAAACAAAGTCACAGACACGCCTACGAGCACGTATACACATCGCAGCACTCCGTGTTTCTCTCTTTTTTTGCAAGCTGTGTATTCTTCCTGACTATTCTGGGAATCACTTGAGTTGCGTATTATCTAAGAGATAAGGAACTTCTTTGCCAGGACTCAGGAAGTGCAAAGGAATTTGCAGTCAGATCTCTCTGTGTTTTTGAAAGCCGCTTTAGAGCCGCCCCTCCCCATCCCCTCCGTGGAACAACTTCCTCTCTCCAGGCTGAGCCTTGGCTCCCTGCACTCCACTGGTGCATCCTCTTCCTGAGGTGGAGTCCCCTTTTCCATCAAAAAGAAAAAAGAAAAAAAAAACTCCCTCCATTTGGCTTTTCTCAAAAGCTCTCTTTTCCCCCTCTCGCTCAGCGAGGTGGAGCTTCTATTTCTAACATGAAATTTGGAATGGCTCAGAAATCTTCCCAGCACAGAGAGATGGTTTTTGTGTGCGCTTGTGTGTGTGTGAGAGTCTGAAAGCAAAACATTAAAAGAAAGAAAACAAAAGAATCAAATTCATAAATCTTAGGAAGCTTCCTCCTTTCAGTCATTGGAACTACTTTAAAGGGTGTTTTATATGTTAAAGGGCCACTTTAAAACTTAAAATCTGCAACCATTTGGAGGAGAAGAAGAAGAGGAGGAGGAGACGGAAACACAGAGACGAGGATGAAACTGAACTTTGTGGACGAGACCAAACAGAAGGAATAAAAGAGGGAAGAGGCTGCTGGGTGGGGAGCAGCCGGGCCAAGTGTAGGAAGGAGAAGGTTGGCTGTGGGAGGAAGGGTGGACCAGGAACGAACACACACAGAAACACACAGAAGCAGAGAAACACTCACTCCTGAAGGGTCTCCACTCCCATTTCCTTATACTGCAGCTCCTGCTTCACCTGGGCCAGCTCCTGCTTCAGTCTGGAGAGCTGCGGACACAAGCAAGCACCTGGTTACCATGGTGAACAATGGACTCCTCTCACCGCCACCGACAAAAACTGCCGAATCATGACTACTGGCACGGAGGAATGCTCGACTGTGTTTGTACAGAGGTGCACACACACACACCCAGACCTTCTCTCTAGAAGAGGTTTTGGACTGAAGCGTGGAAACCTTCCAGAGGAATCTCCAGCTCTGTGGAGCACAGCGTTACCACTAAATCACTAAAAGTTAATTTTAGTCTAAATTGCGTAACGTGGTCAAACGGCATCAATACTGCCACAGGTAGGCAAAACTAAAATGCAAAAACATCATGGTTAAAGTAACGCTCTGCCACACTAACAAGCAGATATAGAGATGCATCAATCAGATGATGGTAAGTTTCCACTTTCCTCGTCTCTAACTGGTCGATTTGAAGTTTTGATCAAGATTTCCCCAAAGAAAAACAGAAAGGAGAAGAAACACGTTTCAGGTCGTTTATGAATCAAATAGAAGATCTAGATTTGCGCCCCTCAGCCTGGCAGCACATTGGAGTGGATCGTTTACTCTGACATACTGAAAAGATTTTTATGTTCTGGATGCTGAGCAGCTGGGTTGATTTTTGTCGATACTTTTTATACTTTGCTCATCTTTTATGATGTGTAACCATAGCAACAGGGCGGTTTACAACTGATTAACATCGCAAAAGCAGAAACCATAGATAACCAGCGTCTTCAGTCAGAGGCTTCTTCAGATTCACTGTAATACAGACTGCTATAGGAGATCCTTCCTGCCCACAGCCATCACCATCTACAACAACTCTGAAGAAAATTGAATGAATAAGTATTACAGCAGCATTTGATTTCCTTTTGGGATCAAAAAAGTATGTTTGAATTGAACTGAATGCAAATTTATGCAACAAAGCACAGATTACTAACCTGTTTCTGACCAACTGTGTGTAGTTTGTTACTGGCACTTATTGACCCGGATAAGGGGGAGTTCTTTGTTTTGAGGCATTTTGTCTTATTTATTGACCACCGATCAGAGCAGATCAAGGAAAAAAGGGCCAATTCTGATCTTTGAGTGATTGATCGATGCATCTCTGATAAAATGTAACCAACTAAAAACCTAAATTAGCAGAACCCTGAACGTCTGACCCCACCCTGCTGAAGAATGGCTTTGGAATAATAATCAGTTCTTATGCAGCTTTAAAATCTGGGATTTCTTCGTCATCTGGACGTGTTTTAACACGGCTCTCGTTTGCTGCAGCAGACGGATTTAAACAGCGACACTTCCACCCCCCCACTCATTTTTTGCAACAACTCTTTGCTTTAAAATGACCCTGATCCAGGAAATATCCTGACCCGTGCTATTGATCTCAGGGTTAACGTCCAACCTTGCCCTGCGAGTCCTGGGCCTCTCCTGACCCTTTGATGATGACCTCACCGTCGTCCTCCTGAGGCCCCAGACCAGAACCATGGTATCCTGTAGGGGCCACACCCCGGAGCCCCCGAAGCGCCCCTCACCACATCCCATTGTTCTCCATCGATAGCAACTCACCCGCTCTCGTTTGCAGGCTATTTCCGCTTTGATTTGATCAGGATCGTATTTCGCACTTGAAGACGAGCCGGAAAAAGCTGCAGACGCATAAAGGAGAGAGAAGAGAGCGTTAGTGGCTGAGCTGTAATAGTGAGGTCTCCTCGTGTTTCCTGGGAGCTGAGCCCCCCTGGAAGCGTTGTGTGAGGGGGTCAGAGGGTGAACTGGGTGGAGGTGCTAAAACAAGAGGGTGGAGTGAGGAAAGAAATGAGGATTTGGAAGAATTTTTATAGATTTAGATCTACCCCAGTGAGTGAGGAGTTATGAGCAGTATAGCATATCCAGGTCAGATAACGAGGACAGCTCACCAAAGGGTGAGCTATATAGATTTAGAATTTTATTGCAGTATTTTATGGTAACGGTACAGATTATTATGTTACTTATTTCTTAGCCAACTGAATGGCTGTGGCTTACAGGGGGGCCTGCATCGTATCGTTTATCATGATGTTGATTTATCGTCACGATACATTTTGTCATCGATGTTTCAGAAAAAAAACAAAACTGACATCTGAAATGTTACTTTTGCATTTTCTCCAGTGTTTCACAAGAGCATCAGTAAATATTAGATTCAAAAGTATGATTACTGCTGCAATTTAGTGACAAAAAAAAAATAAATCACTTTTAAGTAACTGGCAAGAATCATTTCAAATGGGAATGTTTTTCAATATTCGTTTGTGGTGCTATGGATGCTGTACCATGCCATCAGAGCCATACAGTTAAATAGTTTTTTTATTATAGTCTTTACTGTTATCACAAAAGTGCCACAAAATATCAAGATAAAATTCCAAATCCTTCTCGCCCAGGCCTACTGTGACTGCATGGCACCACCAACACAAATATAGTTCTTGGAAAAACATTCCCATTTGAAACAGGCTACTGTTCAGGACCCAATCTTATTAAAAGTGTGATTTATGTCATTGAACTGCACACAGTAACTGCATTTTCACATTTGACATTTATTGATGCAGTGGAGAAAGTAGCAAAAGTAACATTTCAGATAATACTGTCAATTTAGTTTTTTATTTACTGAAATTGACAACTGAAATTTATCGTGACGACGGTGAATCAAATGCCCGATTATGAGCTCAGGTCATCATTTGATTATGTGGGATCCTCAGATATATTCTTCTCTCCCCTCCATCCAGTCTCGACATTGGTGATCCTTACTGCTGGTGGTGGAGTGGTTGTCCCCAGAAAGCTCGTTCAATCGCAGCATCTCCCGCTGAGCCAGCTCTAGTCGCTGCTGCTTGATCAGGTACATCTCCTTCTTGGCGTTGAGGGCCTCCTGGGCCACCACAAGGTACTCCTTCAACATGCGCTCCTGTTCCTGCCGCCATTGTGTCCGCGGGTTCTCAATCTGGGTGGTTTTTGAAAAAAAAAAAAAAAAAAAGTGAGATTCATCACCTAAATGGTGTTTCTTAGGCATTATGATAAAAATATGTATATGACCGATAGAAAAGAGGAAAACATTAGCTCTGCTAAAGTTCTGTTTTACCAGAAAAAGTTCAGATGGTTTGAGGATTCTCTGACAGTAGCCGAGTTTCCACTGACCAGATAAATGCGCAGATTGGAATTATGAAATTAAATTCACTAAATGGGAACATGGCAATTTAAAAAAAAAAAAGGCAAAACATTTGAGCTAGGGTGAGGTTTTTTGGTCGAATAGAAATTCACAAAACTGCCATGAGTTTCACATCACAGGTGAACATCCGGACGTTACTACTGGCTGAAATGACAAGACGACAGGAAGTGGTACGATGGTAGTGCGGCATTTTTTTTAATGACATTGTGTGAACAATCTTATTTAATGGAAAAACTGCAATTGAGAAATGGTGTTTTTTCGACATTAGTTGAATAATGACAAAGTTTTGTACACATTTGTAATGGAAACCCAGCTGGTGATTAAAGCGCATTTCCAGCAGCATCTCTGAAACAGATCCTGTACCCTGGGCAGGGAAACTCCAGTGACGCTTTCAGCTCCTCTCACCATCCTCTGCACAACTACAATAAGAAGGAGACCAAAGAGATGTACTCACTGTTGATGTGGTCGATGTAGTAAACTCCCACTTGTTGGTCGTAAACCTCCTCCCACCCCAGAGGCAGCTCATCTCCAACACAGTCGGCAAACGTTAGCGGTTTTGTGATCCTGGAATAAAAATAGTTACAAAAATGGAGAACATTTAGCTATGATAATAAATATCTTACACTTTGTTTCACATAAGGCAAAGGCTGCTTTTTTCTTCCATTTTTAGTGAACAGAAGCATCATGTGAGCCATTAAGAACTAAGAATTCTGGCATAATGATGAACAAAGCAGCAGAGAAGTATCAAAACATGCATTTTTCCACCCAATTATGTAATTTTTTTTCTGTTAGCATAAAGATGCCTGCAGGGTTTTCTGCCTCATTATGTAAATAGAGTTTACATTAGTCAGTTAATGGAGATAAAGTCAACATTCAACCACAGGTTGAACCTGTTATTTCAGCAACAATTTTACAGACTCCAAAATAGGAAATTGTAGAAGAAAAAGCTCCACATTTGGCCGATTTGGGACACGAAACGTAAAGTATGCACATTGAAAAGGCATGGGTTGGCATAATAAAACTGCTGGTAGAAATAATTCATGAGATTCACACAAAAATAGAAATATTTGTCATGCATCAATCATTTTTTTATGTCCATTTTGTTTGTAGCATTTTAAATTGCAGTACTGTAACCTTTCAGCCAGCTAACCAACAGCATTGCTAAACCTCAGGAAGCCTTATTACCAGCTCTTTCCAATCATGGACGTTTGTGTTTTTGCACCACCTTAGATTGATTAATTCAAAGAAGAGACCTGAACACCTTGGCATGAAGAATAGAAACTCAAGGCACCGTCCTCCAAAAGGGGTCTGAAGCTGAATTACTGCCTGAAGAAGTTCAGGAGGACAGTATTAAAAACCACCATCTCACCGGCTAACATGTATTTTTTAGGAAGAAAAAAAAAAAAAAAAAAAAAACCAGAATTGGACATGAAATGCTGAGTGTCTTCTGGGACAGCAAGACAAACGTTCTTCAAAACCACTGAAGCACATCAATGAACAAACTTCAAAATGAGCTACATGCGATAGCCTTGACCAGCACTAAACCAACTATTTCTAGATGTTTTCACAGGGTGTGAATTTATGTTTTAACCTAGTTTGTCAGAGTCCCACACGGTAAAGCTAGCTGTTAAATTTAAGTGTTGCTAATGAGGGCTACCAAGCTAGCTTAAACAATGTTGTAGCTTCTGGTTAACGACACAGCTTATAGTTTATTTAATTTTGCCAAAAAGATGACATTTAGATACAACATAATACCCAGCTGAACCACTTTAAAGTACCAAGGCAGAAAATGTGAGCAATATGCTGATTGTATAGCTCATCAACGAGCTAGCGACTACTATGAACAGCAGCTGAACATTCTCTGCAAACAGAGAGAAACAAAAAAAAACAAACAATTTGAACAGGATAATGTCTGACAATTGATTCAATGAGCTAAAATTAGAAGTGCAAATAAAATAGACACGTTTTATTTTTCTTGTCATATTGGATTATGGGTCAGGATTGGTGGCAAACAGACTTTCAGTCAACATTTGATAATTTTCTTCACATTCTGGATTTCCCATTTCAGAGATCAAATGAAAGGCACCACATAAGCAGATACAAATTTAACAAAATCATGTTTAAACAAATTGCTTTTGCCATTATCGTTTTGAGGTGAAATATTGTCTTAAGCTTTTCCTATTCATTAAAATGCATGAAAACCATGAGCTCTTCAATAAAAACATTTTGAAGCTTGTTCACAATGCCAGCTACACAAAGAAATATTTATATTTTAATCACCAAATTACCAGTACACATAACAGTGAACAGGTTGGCATTAAAACCAGTAGCTAATCACCATCAATCACAGAGATCCTTGTACTCTGAGCATGAGGCCTGGTAACTGGCAAGGTATGCATACAATGACGGGACTGCAAAGCGAGAGTAGCCGAGACATTCTGCTCTGCATTCCTCAGGAGACACGCTTCAGCTTTCCTCTCCCAAAAACCTACTGCACTGGATCTCACTTCCGCTTTCTTTTCTCCGTCAACAAAATGGTTTTCAGGCACGATGCCGTCGGCGCTCAGACACATGCTGCCGATTCAAATTAGAAGAAGGCACCGTGTTAGTCAGCCGCCGTCTCTCTCGCTCTCTCTAAAAAAAAAAAAAAAAAAAAAAGGACATTACGAAAGAGGGTGTACTCATAAAAATGTCTGATGTTCCAATAAAAGTATCAAGGAGCGGTGCTGAATCACACGCCGCGATGAATGAGTTGGGCTTGCCAAAAACAATCAGGGCTTCAAATTCAATGAACTGCCTTAGCATTTCACATATTTTGGGGGAATTCAACAGGTTAGGTTTGTTCAACATTCCAGAGATGTAAAGCAGCAGTCCAGAATGTTACAACTGTGGGTTTCCTCATCATGTTTTCATTTATTTCCTCAAACACTGATGAAACAATGAACTCACTGAAGTCAAACATACAAACTTGCATAAATCAGTAGGTCAGGGTAAGAAAATTATGCAATTGAGTAATAGCATAAAACATATTCTGCACCTGTAAAAGGCTTCAAACCGCTAGTTTAACTTTTGTCACACGACAACCACAAGCTTTAAGGTTTTACAAGGGCATTTTAAGTCAAAGACCAACACATTTCTAATAACATTTTTGTCCTCAAATGTGAGGAAGAAAAGGGACAAATATGGCTTTCTGCAATGCGATATGTACTGAAAAAATAAATCCAGTGCAACCACCTGCCTTTAAAAGTAATTGTGTCGAGTCCACCTGTTTAATGGACTCATTAGTTTTGGCGTACAGCTGTTCTGAGAGAGACCAACCAGCCAATAGCACTAGACAAAGTAGTCTGAAAATACTTCAGTGATGGGTTATTTAGATAACATTTTTCCAACTAAGGATGAACAGGGACCTGGACAGACAGATCATACACAATAGAAGTGTTTTGACTAAGACTGTATAAAATGTGTTTAAATCACAATCTTGATAAACAGACAATCCAGTGTACGAGTTATCCTTGAATGAACTCCTCTGGTGTCACATGCTCCTCAACATTTGGTCCGACTGAACGCTGCAGGTGGCCGCATTTGGACTGAACCCGATTCTTCTCCAGTAGCGGTGACGTTTACATTCGGGTTGACGTCGTTTCAGATTGCACCAGCATGAGGAATTGAGTTTAGTGTAAAACGAGCTGCAGCGAATGCCTTATCGCTGCTGCAAATCACATGTGAAACCCTGGCGCTTTCAAACGGAGGATGTTGGTGACAGCTGGGAGTGCTCTGTATTGTTTAGTTGATGTTTTTTTTAAGTAGTGTGACAAACTGTAACGCCATGCACTTAGTTCTGCACTAAAATGTTATTTGCACACGTTTAGGTTTAAAACACCGTATTCATTCAAGAACAGGAGGCCTGCATCAATAACTTTCAGTAAATGTAACATCAAGTGAGATTTTGAGAAAATGGAAAGACAATGGATCTCCTACAGAAACATGGCCGTCTTTAACCACTGCGGCTCTGGAGGAGCTGCAAGGATCCGCAGCTCAGATGGAAGAATTTGTCAAAGGGACAAGCATTATTGGTGCATTGACAGAAAGTCATTGATACAAGGCCATGAGAAGTCCAATGTGCCATATGACTGCTGCAGCATATTTAGACCAATCAAAAAAATTCTTCATGGTTAATTAGCTTATTTTGGGCAAGAAGATTAGGGTCACAGAAAAACAAAAAGAATTGATTCTGATCTCAGAATTCTGACCTTTGACCTCAGAATATTAAAATCAAAATTCTGAGATTAAAGTCTTTCAGTGGCCCTAATCCTCTTTTGTAAACCTGACCTGCTAATGTTCTGTTTCTTTATGTTCAGTCAGAACATAAATCTGGAGAAAATAATCAAATCTGAATCCATGTCCAGAGTTTCAATCTCGGCTACAAAGATGTTTATATCATTTCTCGGTAACATTTTATTTGAAGGGGGGTGAATAAGACTCACATGACACCCGTCATGAACATGAATAAGCCTTCATGAATATTTAACTGTCATGAAGCGTCATTCGGTATATTATGACACTTAATACAAAGTTGACATTCAAAATACCTTTATGACAACTTGACATCAAGAAATCATTACCGATATAAAATTATAAAAGTATTAATGATTGCACTTTAAAAATTAGGTAACCATGTTATTAAAGGTAAAGTTTAAACAGTAATGATTTCTTGGTTAATGTCAAGTTGTCATAACAAAGACATTTTGAATAATGTCAACTTTGTATTAAAAGTGTCAGAATTTACCGAATGACACTTTATGACAGTCAAATTCATGAAGGCTTATTCATGTTCATGACAGGCGTTATGTCATGTTCATGAAGGTGTCATGACAGTCTTATTCACTCCCTTCAAATAAAGTGTTATCCATTTCTCCAAGACATTGCATTGAAAATATATAATTTTTCCACAATAATTCACTTAAGTTTGAACAACCCCTATTTGACTCATTAAACAATGATCAGAAGATAACAAAAAGAAAAGACATGCTTCATACAACTCCGTGACAGACAACCGGTGGCATGATGGCGGTGGGTTAAAAGGAGCCGCACAAGTGGAGTTTGGAGACAAAGCAAACAAGGCCACGCTCCTTACCTGCTGCTGCTCTGAGTGTTTGTGAAAGGCAAACAAATGTCCAGACACCAACTGCTCTTTAAATACTTGGACAAGAAGCAATCAGACAGCATGAGAAATACTTTAGCTTGGAGGTTTTACTCACAAGTACAGAGGTAAAAAAACCCCTCCAAAATAAAAACAGGAGTTTCAAAGGAAGGAGTTGTGCTATTCTTGGAGTAAAAACAGAAACACAAAGGAAAAGGAGGAAAGTTCAGAAGACACATGGGGATGTGGGAAGCTACATGACGTCAGAGGGAGTTTAATCCCAAACTGCCCTCTGACCCAGCGACGGAGACAAAGACAGTGAAGGGGGGGAAAAAAAAACAACAAAAAAACATGTCCTCCACTCACAGCTCTGAGTCTGAATGTTTGGTTTGTTACGCAGTCTTGTGACAGCGCCGTCTGTGTT